CTCAGTGATGCATGGAAGTGGCCTTATGTGCTTAAAAAGAATGCCAACATAGAAGCTTTGAGAACTTCTACCAGAATAGGTTACAATTATATGCCCAGTGATGGATCAGCCTACATAATTTCAAGAAGGCTGATCAATAGATTATTGAATTTTTCAGTGTCTTCCCTCCTGAATATTTGCTAAGTCACAGAGAATTTAAAAATTTGTGTACAATGAAGGGATTAATTCATATTTATGAAAACCATGGGTCACTGAAGCAGTCTTCAGTTATTTCAGTCTTTACATTTAGCCATCAAGATTGAGTAAATAAATAGACAGTGAGGCCCTGAAATTTTTTTTCTTTTTACTTTGTTTTATTGTTTCTTAGTATCTCATGGAGCTTCCACCTGCCCAATTCCAATTTTTAAGGAATTATTTCCTTCTGTGTGCTTTGGTACCTCTTTTACCATTAGGCCAATTCTGGTTTTTTAGGTGTTATTTTCTTGTGCCTGTTTTACCAAGCTGTTAATTCTCTTTTCATACTTTTCTTGTATCACTTTCATTTCTTTTCCCAATTTTTCCCTACCACTCTTATCTCTTTCTTTAACTCTTCCAGCAATTCTTGTTGGGCTTGGGTCCAATTAGCATTTTTATTTCCTTTTTAAAGGCTTTGCTTATAACTATTTTCACATTGTTGTCTTATTCTGAGTCTATGTCTTGATCTTCCCTCCCCCATAGTAGCTTTTAATGGTCACATTCTTTTTTGTTGATTGCTCCTTTTTCTAGCCTATCTTGGCTTTGCGCTTTATGTTAAAATTGGGCTCTGCTCACCTGCAGGTGGAAAGGCAATGTCCCAAGCTTCAGGCTTTTTCATGCTGCCATTTTCTGAGCGTATTCTGGGGCTTGCACTTTTTGGTGCTTCCAAGGTATTGTTATTCTGGGAGAGCTGTGGTCACTGCTTTCCTGGTCTGTGCTCCAGTCTTTACCCAAGAAGGGTACCTGCTACTCTACAGATGCAAGCGATAATGTTCCTCTTGGCCCTGAAACTACAACCAGGGTCCCCTCCCTTGTGACTGACCACAAGTACTCCTCTGTGTCCCAGATTTGCATATGGGCAATGTAGTAGCCAAACAGTGCCCAATGCTGTGTCAGTAAGCTCAGAGTTTTCTGTAATCTCTTTTTGATCAATTGTCCACTCCCTTTAGTAGCTGAGAGATCTCAAAGCTGCTGCTACAACTACTACAGCCACCTCCAAGATCCACTGCTGGTGTGGCCACCACAACCAGTCTAGGCGGCCACCACAACCAGTCTAAGCAACCCCCACCCCACTGTCACAGACCTCTCCTACTGACCTCCTAAATTATCTTGAGCTGGAAAAATGACTCACCCAGATCTTTTGTCATAGCAGCTATGCTGCTCTAGAATTAGATTTGATGTATCATTTTTAAGTTGTCTGGAGGGAAATGTTGGGTTGTTGCCCCTACTCTACTATCTTGGCTCCATCCCTAGTTTTTAATCCCACATGAAATACACTTTAGAAGCTCTATGCTTAAAGAAATTATGAAGTTAATGCTTTTGTCAAAGGGAAAAAATGTTCCCAATGCTTATAATCAGTTCCTAATTTATCTCTTTTTTTCTAAGTCTGGCTATTCCCTTATTGAACCTTTTTAACATGAGGTACAACTAGGATACACCCATGTGAAACGCTACAAATATGAAGATCAATTGGGTGAAATGTACACCTAACCTAAACTGGAAGGCTGCTTACCTGAAATGCTATGAGATAGCATAAGGCTGCCAATTCTGATAAAGCTCTCCATTGTATCTCACTGTGCTGAGCCATTTTCAAAAGCAGAGTACCAGCATGCATGTAGAAGTGACCTTTCATTTCAAGGAAAGTAACTGATAGCTCATCATTCCCACTCATAAAAGATTTCACAGACTGAAGTGCATCATCATCAAAACTAAACACAAAAATGTTGCAAAGAATAGCAGTCAAACGTTACTGAATTAAGGCATAATCTACATCTTTGATATCAAATGGATAATAAGTTTCACAACAAAAAATAAAGGCTTTTTTTTAAGTAAAGAAATAACCCTTGGGGAGGTGGAGGTTGTGAAAACAGGTTAAGGTATATGCCCTACCACCACCAACAAAAAAAGGGAAGAAAAGTGAAACATTACGTGAAAATTTAAAAAATGGAAAAAAAAAACCCACAGCAGAAAGAAGTTCAGACAGGGACACAATTCAGCACTGATATTACTACGTTAAAAATGTGATACTTTTTCAAAGAAACATTTATATGTTTTTATATGTACAATTTCAAAAACAATCCTCTTACTCATTTTACATGTAGAAATATTATTTATTGGTGTTTGTAAAATTCCTTCTCCCTCCCCCAAAAAAAGAATTGGGGAAAAAAGAATCCTTCAAATAAGGTTATAAATCAAATTGTGTTTATCCTTAAGTTTTTACAAATTACCATATGACCCAACCACACACATTTTGCTTTTGAAGATGAAGAACAATATTGACAATCATAGTTCAACTTAATTTTTGCGATCTTGGGCTGAGTTATCTAGCCTCCCTGGGGCCCATTTCCTACTCTGTAAAGGAGGGAGTTGGATCCAGAGCCAGAATGCCAAGCTAGATCTATGATCTATAAACATCACCAACCATTCTATTTATTTAAATACTTGTTTGAAACAACTCTTATTTTGTTCACATCCTAAAGTCCCACCAAAAAAAAGAAAAGCCAAAACCTACACTCAGGCTCAGCCAGGGGGAAAACAGTTTATTGCAAAACACCTGAAAAACATGAAATCTACTAGAATACTAAAACTGTTCCTTTCCTTAAGGATGGTGGCTCTGCAGAAAAGCAAGACTGTCCATCCTTTATCTAAAGCAAGGACAAAGAACAGACTTGGGGGGAGTGGGGAGGAGGCTCAGTATTCAACTGCCTTTCAGTCCCTTCAAGTCTTTCATAATGCATTCATTAGTTTGAAGCGTTATGAATTCTCAGACAAGATATACATATATACAAACAAAACTAAATTCTAGAGTCAAATATTTTTTAGTGTAGCTTACCAAAACTGCTATACTCTCCATTAATTCCTATCCTTTGCTAAACCTACCCAACCTTATCTTGGTATATATGATCTTGGGCTCTCAAAAAATGTAGCAGCAGGGAAATAAGAAATATAGGAAATGGGGTACAGAAGTCTATCCTGCCCTACAGAAAAATAGAAGGGGAAGGGAATAAGAGAAGGGTGGGAAGAGGTAGAAGAGAGAACAGACTAGGGGAAGGGATATTCAGAATGCATGCCATCGTGGGGTGAGATGGGGTGAAAATCTGGAACTCAAAAACTTGTGGAAGTGAATGTTGACAACTAAAAATAAATAAATTTATATATGTTAAAAAAAATGTAGCAGCAGAGGCAGAATTCTGGCAAGTTCTACCAAGCTGAAAAAGGTTTTAAGTACAGAAAAGCAATGGCCTAGCTAATTTGGGCTGGCCAATTTCTAAGAGGCTGGCTAATTTCTTCCTTAAGAACTAACAGATTATGCTTTAAAATTAATACAAATCTAAGCAGCAACAAGAAATCCCTTTATGGTACTATAATTGCCTATGATAACTGTTTTAGGCAAAGGAACATGAAGTAACTAGAATTTATGAGCGTGAGCAACCCCCAGTATGGGAATTCCTTCCACCAATGTGATCGTCAATCTTTCCATGATCAATACCAGGTAACTGCTTGAGGTAAAATGACTTGCCCAGGTCATATAACAAAAATAATTTGATAACTGAAATTAACTAAGTTGAAAAGGCCAGATCCACTGGAAAGAGCATTTAATATAACAGTTTACTGATACTTTTCAAGAGACATTAGCATCCTTTTCTTTTTTCTCTGAAAAGATTTATTCTCTTCTCCCTCCCTTTCTTTTTGGTGAGGCAATTGGGGTTAAGTGATTTTCCCAGGGTCACACAACTAATAGTTTTTTTTTTTTTTCAGTGAGGCAATCACACAGCTAGTGAGTGTTACGTGTCTGAGGACAGATTTGAACTCAGGTCCTCCTGAATCTAGGGCCGGTGCTCTATCCACTGCACCACCTAGCTGTCCCTCTTCCCCCCTTTTTGAATAATTAGTTTTATTTATCAAATTAGTATACACTTTTAACTCATATTGTGCCTATACTAAAGTTTCACTTCACTCTAATTTTTTATTTGTTTAGTGATTTACCAACAGTACCTAATTAAGGCAGAAATCATTAAAACCAAGTTTAGAAAACCCAGAAAAATGTAACAGCTGTTCAAAACGTGAAAATAAAAACCATTAAGCATCTTCTTACAAAACCAAGAATTCCTAATTAAGCCAAGTGAAATAGCCATCCTTTAAAGTTCCTTTAAAAGTACTAAAATATGAGTAAAGCATCGATTCAGTAACAATAGACTCAGATGGAAAGACAATCCCACATATAGACAGGAAATACAATAATAGTATTAGCAACAAACAATCCACATTTATATAATACTTTGAGGACTGAAAAGTATTTTCCTCACCAGCTTGTGAGGAAACTAATTTATAAGTATTATTTAACAGATGATGAAAGTTAGGTTCTGACAGATTACAGGACTTGCTCAGGATCCTACAATTATTAAGTCTTTCAAGTGCAACTCAAACCAAAGGTCTCTGAGTTCCATGTCTAGAACTTGATGTACTTTTCCACAATGTATCAATTTTCAAATTCATCATTTCTCAAGTATGCCATAATAAAACATTAACATAACACAGGTTGCAATTTTTCTTCTTTTTCAAACCTGAAGCAGAAGCTCAGAGAGACTAAAAGTTATGCAAAATAAAATCTTAATACTCTTACAAAGAATTGGTAAAGAAGAATTCTCATCATATTGCACCAGTTTTAACAGTCCTCTAAGCACAGCATATAAACGAACATTTTGGGAGAGAGATTAATTCAACCAACTAAACAATGAACTGCTCCTTAAAATATAAAATGTAATTTAGATTTAATTGCTTTACTTATAATTATCATACCGTTCCAGTAATTCTCTACTTTCCTGTACATCTCTAGTAGAAAGCGTAAGAAGCATAAGATTGGCATAGGCCAGAAGTAAGTCTTTATTGGTTGCTCGCCAGTTGCTTTTATTGGCCTCCAAACACTGTAACGATTCCAGATATTCCTATTGGGTAGAAATAAATTAAAATGCATATAATTACCAACAATTTTTGTTCTTTGTCCTTTGCTATATAATAGCAAATGTCCCCCAGTGAAACCATAATGTATACACTGATGTGATAAGTAAAACTTCAAAATTATCCCTTTTCCCATTCCAGTCTTTCTTCAAATAAGGTGAAATAAATTCACCACATCCTTAATTACTCAAACAACATAAAATGCTACTCATATTGGACAAATAAATGGTTTACAGAGATCTTGGTATAACGCCTCACACAGACATGACAAATATTTATTGAATGTTATTGAGCTGCCCTATGTGTGTAAAATGGATAACAATAATGTCATTTATTTGTTATCAAGAAATTTTACATGTGGAAAACAGAAGAAATTAAAGTACAAGATACAGATGCCTCTTAGAGGATAATAAATGAAAAGGAAAAAGTGCTGTCACATACCAAAAAGAAACGTACAGAACTAGCTTTTACCTACCTTAAGTGTTCGCACAACACATGAATACCATTCCAAGCTTGTTCTCAAGGCTAGATTTCTCTCTGCCTCACAGCAGTGGGCCACAGCATCCTTCAGTCTCTTATTTGACCTGTACAGCTCTACTAGTCGGATGTTCACATATACATCATCAGGTCTCGCATAGAGCTCTGACTGAATCAAGTCAAAAAGCTGATTCCATCCATCTTCACCTTTACAGTCTAAAAGCTGCTCCTATTGAAATTTATATATTTAGCTTAGAATCAATACCAAATATATTCAAGTTTACCAATCAATAAACAAATATTTATTAAGCGTCCACGTGCAAGGTTACAAATACAAAAATACCTACCCTCAAAATAAATTCCTCTTTTTGGCACTTAATGCCCTCCACAATCTGGCTCCAACCAGACATTAATGTCCTTCCCACATTCTACATTCTAACCAATCTGACCTTCTTGCTATTTGTGCTGGCTATACTCAGGTGCCTGGAATTCTCTCCCTCCATACTTCTAAATGTAAATAAATCCATTATTACTCTCATGATTTCGTTCAAGTATGACCTTTTATGTGAAACCTTTCTTGATTCCCCAAATGCTAGTGCCCTTCACTCCTTAAATTAATGCACATTTATTTTGTAAATTATTCTATGCTTATGTATGTATAGAATGTCTTCCCTGAGAGAATGTAGTTTTTTGCGAGTGGGACTTGTTTCACTTTTTCTTTATATCACAGGTACCTAGCACAATGTGGGTGGCATACAGGTGTTTAAGTTTTTTCATTGAAAGTATTAAAGATACCATTAGTTGTAAATAAACACAACTATGCCAGATACTAGGGAACTATTCTATTTCTACCCTCAGTCCCTAAACATCAGTGCTAGATTTTTTACTACAGAATAATTTAGCACACATAACCTACTCCAGGAAAAGTCTAAAAATTGCACCAGACCAAATAATGACCAAGAAATCTAAGGAGAACTACAGTAATTTTTTCCACTCAAGAAATGCAGAGTCAGTAAAAAGAAAAAAAATAATAAATAGGAAAGGTGATCTCCTACAAAGCTAGCACCAGTGCAGACAAGCTGAATGCCTTCCACAGTACAAGACACACAACATGTAGATTGCTAGGCTCTGTATCCAGAAACAGCAGAACGTTATCTCCCCTCAGAAAACCAGAGCAGAAGGAAACCCAGAGTATGGACCTTAAGAAACCCCAGGAATAGCACTTGATCAGTCCAGGCAAAATTAGTGCTTAGATCAGAATGCCCCAGGGCTCCAAAGTCCTTGCATTTGTCCTGAGATAAAACAGAGGACCCAGAAGATCCAGAGCTCTTGACCTCAAAGATTCAAGGGCAAAGGTAGGGCTATCTGAAGGGGAGGGGCTAACTCAAAGAGGCAGAACTCACAGGAACCCAGGTGACCCTAATTAGGACCAAACAGAGACAATTATCACCAAGCGCAGAAGACTGTTCCCTGCCCTGGCACAAAGCCACAGTTCAGGAAGTAAGAACGAAGAAATGAGTAACTAAAGAAAACATCAACAACTATAAAAAATTATTATTAGATGAAGAGAGGCCCAAAAATTCAACTTATGAGAAAAAATGCCATGACAATGCAAGCAGAGGTTCAAAAGAGAAAATGTATTTTCCACAAGCCTATAATGAATCCCTAGAAGTAAGGCAAAAGATAAAAAATGGAAATTCTAGAGGAAAGATTGGAAGAATAGTTTACAAGAAAAAGTTTTAAGCTTTATCCAAGTAACAGACTCCCTAAAAATTAGAACAGACCAAATTGAAATAAATTATTCTGTGAAACGTGAAATACTACAATATCAAAAGATTAAGAAAAAAAGAATATAAGACACTTACTACTGGACAAGGAGAAACAAATTTAAGAATAATCAGACTTCAGAGCCTATATCAGATTGCATGCTGTCTTGGGGAAGCAGGGTGGAGAGGGAGAAGGAGAAAATTTAAAACTCAAGATCTTATGGAAATGAATGCTGAAAACTAAAAACAAATTAATTATTTTCAAAAAAAAATAATCAGAATTCCTGAAAACCATGATAAAAAGCCTGGACACTATAGAAGTATCTATTAAAACCAAATGGAGGGCAGCTAAGTGGCACAGTGGATACAGCATCAGCCCTAGAGTCAGGAGGACCTGAGTTCAAATCTGGTCTCAGATCAGACATCTGACACTTACTAGCTGTGTGACCCTGGGCAAGTCACTTACCCCCAACTGCCTTGCCAAAAAAAAAAAAGGTAAAGTGAAGATAGAAAGAATCCACTGACCACCTCCTGAAAGAAACTGCAAAAAGTAATCCCAGGATTACCACAGCCAGAATTTGAGCAACTGGAAGGCACTATGTGATAAAGTGCTAACACTCTAATGAGGGAATAAGGAAGAAGTGTCCCTTTAGAACCTAAATGTCTTCGAAATATTTTTTGTTTGTTTGTTTTTGGTGAGGCAATCAGGGTTAAGTGACTTGCCCAAGATCACACAGCTAGTATGTGTCAAGTGTTTGGTCTGAGGCCAGATTTCAACTCAGGTCCTCCTGACTTCAGGGCCAGTACCACCTAGCTGCCCCCGAAACGGTATTAAGAGAAGTAAATAAAGAAGATATAGGACCTGGGGATAGATCACTTGCTTGGAGGGTTTAAAAAAGAGAAAGAAAAAGGAGGGTAAAAGGAATCCACTATAGTAGAAAGGCTTCTATTTCTCATAATTGAGGTGTATGGGGAGAAGAATATACAAATATGGAGGAAATGATAGGGAAGTTAAGTATCAGATAAACTTCATTCTTATCTAAATAAGACAAAGGAAGGTTGAACACATGAACACACACAGTTTGGTGTAGAAATGTATGAAACTCAACAAAGAAATAAGCAGCTACAGGGAAAGGGGAGGTAAATGAGGGAGCTATTACCAGAGAGGGAATAGTCACCAGGAAAACAAACTTCCCGATAATAAAGAGGGAGATTAAAAGGGAAAAAGAACGATTGAGGAATGATTAAATAAGATGTGGCAAATCCACTAATGGAACACTACTGTCCTTTAAGAAATGACAAAAGAAATGATTGTGTTTATTTATGGAAAGGATTTCTTTTCTCCTCTCTTCAAAGTGAGAAGGCTGTAATACTGTTGTCATAAAAAAGAAAAGAGGGCCACTGAAATATTTTTTAATAACCCAAATAGAACAGAACCAACTTCAGAAGTACACATGTGTGCATATATATGAATACATGAAAGTGTATATATGTATACACGTGTATTTCTAAAAGCAAACAGTATGAAATTAGATTAATGATTTCCCATGTAATATGTTTCTATTCTACTGCATACATGGAAATTATTTATTTTTGGAACTTAAGAACGAAAAATTATATAATATTCACTTAATTAAAAAATCAGATTTTTACCTTCAACCTATAGATTGTAGGGTTTCCAGGGAAAAGCTTGGAAGCTTTTTCAACCCAGTATTTTGCCCTTCCATCAGTAGCATCATTTTCACACAACAATTCTGCAATCTTGAGCACAAGATCTTTCTGTGTTGGGTTTAATTCTACTGAACGCTAGCAATTAAAAAAAAAAGAACATTAACAAATGAATTAATAATGCTGAAGCATATGTATAAGGCAACAATTTATGAATCCACTGAATTCTGGGTAAATAATTATACTTAAATAATCCTAGAAAAATTGGCACTTCAAAATTAGTGAAATCAGTTAAGTTTGAAATGCAAATAATACAACAAATACCTTTTAAAAGCAGTATTTTGCTCTTTTGTTTAATGTTTAAAATTAGGAGCATCTGTATCCACACGAAAGGACTGAAACCATAAATATCACAAAAATATATATCTAGACAAATTGTTTGAAAATCTTAGCAATTACCATACTTATATAGTACCTTTATACCAAAGAATTTAAAGAATAGTTCTAACAACCTATTATGTCATATCAACTAATAATACGTATATACTTAAAAATATTCTTTCATTCATTCATAGTTTTTAAAATATCTTTTATTTTTATAAATGGTGGTGAAGCTTTTTAAAAAATATATATAGTTTCATTCTAGACTTGTGATTTCAACAATTGGGGCAATTTCCATTTTAGCGAGGTGCCTGTAGCATTAAGAGATTAAATGATTTGTAACACAGCTCATTCAAATTAGAGGCAGAATCTGAGTCCTCCTGACTCCAATATTCTATGTACTACATCACATGCTTCTAACAACTATAGCTCCCCTCAAAAGTAGCATCTAACATTAATAATAAAAATAGTAGTGATATATTAGTGTAACACAGGCTCAAACTGACATAAAATTCACATTTTAATCAATACTTATTACGCACCTTGTAACATCCAACGGCCTTGTCAATGTTTCCTTCAGCTTCATAGAGAAGACCAAGAAACTTGTGTGCTTTAGGATCCCTCTCTTGTACGTTAAGGTAAGTAGATATATATCTATGATATAATTCAAACATTGAATTTAAAGAGGCTTTTATAATACATAAATTTAATGCAGTTCTATCCTATAAAACACAAAAGAACAGTTTCTAGCTTACTTGGAACAAAAAAAATTACTACTAACCTAGTACATTTCAATATTTATCTCTTCCAAAACTCCAGCTCAAGGATAAAATATTAAGAGCAACAAGAAAAAAAACAATTTAAATATGATGGTGCCACAATAAGAATCACACAAGACCTAGCTGTAGAGACACTAAAGGACCACAGGTCTTAGAACACCATATATTGAACAGCAAAAGAACTGAGGTTCCAGCTGAAAATATCGTACCCAGCAAAGTTAAGCACAATCCTGAAGGAAAAAAATGAACAACTGATCAACTGTCAAGACTTTTAGGACTGTTAAAAACAAAACAAAACAAAACCTGAATTTAAATAGAAGATTTGACATACGATAGCCAAGAGAAACATAAGGTACATACCAAAGACAAGGGATTCAATAAGGACAGATTATTTTTTTATATATGTAAAATGTAAAACATATGTCTAAGATTGTCATCAGGAATTGGGTAGTTTGTAAGAAAGATTGGGGTAGACCTGGCTATGATATGACTTTAAAAAGTAAAACTGTTTAGGAACAGCTGAAAAGAGTAATTACTTTATACAAATGAGGTGCAAGAGGAAGAATCAACACAGAGGGATTAGATGGAGGAGGGCTGGTAGTTCTGGTAACCTACTTTCATCAGGAATGGATTTAAGATGGAACAATACACAGAGGGAACAGGAGAGGATAAGGGAGAGATCTCTAGAGGGGACGATGAGAAAACAGGTTAAGGGGAGTATAGAAGGGTGTTTCGATCAATGGGAATGGGAGGATAGGGAGGAATCCTGGGGGGTGGGGGAGTGGAGGCTAAGTAACAGAAGAACAAGGTAGTGGGTAGAAGTAAAATAGAGGAGTCAGGAGGAATAGGAAATAAGATAAGAACAAACATTAACAAAGATCAGTAGCAGAATTTGTAAGGGAAAATACATGTCTATATATGTATGTATGTATGTATGTATGTATGTATGTATGTATGTATGTATATATCTATATATACATGCATCCACATATAATTGTAGTCTTTGGGTGGGCAGCAGGGGAGGAGGAAGAGGGGAAAAAAGAACAAAAAAGTGCACAGCAGAAAACAAAAGAAAACTTATAATCAAGCAAAGAAAAGATGGACAGCTCTCAACACAGTATTATCATACAGGCTTTCTTGGAAAGAAAATTTATTGGTATATATTCTGAATCCTCTCTCATGTTCTGCTGTGCATATGATATGTTTTTTTCTTTTGTTACTTCATATTTAAGTTTCAATATTTAAGTTTATGATATGTTTCTTTTTCTTTACTCTGTATTTGAGTTCTGGTGTTTGAGTCTAAAATAAAAAAAAAATTATCCCTTGGGTACCACGCTATTTACTTAACTGAGTGACCAATACCTCTAATTCAAAATTATTTGTGAAGGATGACATGAATAGCTTATAAAATCAAAATTTACAAATAATGCAAAATTCTTATTAGTTTCAAACTCATCTACCAAACTTTTTACCCAATGCTGAAAACAGAAGAAACAGAAAGATTCAACCTTCACATTTTTCCTCTCCCTCTTCACCACAGTCTGAACTCTAAAATTAATCAGAATCTTGAAATACTTTTTGGAATATATGCTGTCTCTTAGGAGTTCATGTGAGTGTTATGTTTTAAAAATTATAAAGCTACTGTAATATAAATTGCTGTAATCTTTTTTACAACATGCTAGATAACAAAATAACCACATTCCATTCCTTTAAGGGAAAAAAAAAAGCTAAGCAATTAGTTAAAACAGCAGAATCAGAAAAGCAACTGTACATAAATAGAAAAAGTCTTCAATCACAGGGTATTAAGTCATTCCTTAATTTGAATGAGTAATATATATAATATATATATATATATATATATATACATACACACACACACACACACACACATATTATGTGACTCAGGTAATATTAAAGTTATACCAAAGGTCAAGGTTCTGATTGGTCCTACA